CGTTGGCCCAAAAGCCTACATCTTAAAATCTGCCAATTATTAGAGGTATCTCAACATCTTTCATCAACATCATTCATCAGCATCATTTATTCATCAAACATCTTACATACATCATATAATCACAGCAACTCAGCCACAACAACAATGCAACAGTAAATCGTCAATTTCGCAACATTGGCCATAGGCCTACAACATGATATTACCTATAATTAATTAATCATCTAGGCTTACTTCTAATTTACCAAACTTCTACATATTACTATTATGTAATACTACATCATTATCATCATTAATCATACTGTTACAAATCAGACAGTAATCTATAAACGTTTCATCCTCATCATTCTTCACAAAAACCAACATAACGATTACCGCGGGAAATAACTCAAATCTTAATTTGGGTACTAGGATTATCCTTCCTATTCTTCATTTTAATCTTTAAGAATGAAGTTCATTGCGTTAGCTATTCAACGCTTTGAACAACACCTCAAACGGAGTCCAAAAACTCAAGTTACAACCTTCTCAAACTGATTCTGCCAAAAACCAGATAACATGGATCGACGCGTAAAGCCTTGGGTCGACGCGTACTGAACTGATCACACCACATGATTCGACGCATCCTCTCTTGTATCGACTCATACTAAGTCTACAACATTGCATGTATCGACACATGCTCCTACGTATCGACTCATCCTGAGTCTGAAAGCCCTCATGGATCGACACATGACTCCTTCGTGTCGACTCATCCTGAGTCTAAAGGCCTTCTTGTATCGATACATAGCTTTTGCGGTCGACACATACTGCTTTGCTAAGGATATTTTTCTGTGTTTTCACTACGGGTTTCATACTTTAAGCCCTAAAAACATCTCCTAATCATAGAAAATCATCAACTAAAATTATCCTACAATTCTACATCAAATATACAGTATTAGGACATCGTTATTCCTCTCTCAATCATCAATTTCCATCATACAACATCATATATAATTCAATCATGAACAAAACAATATTTCACCTCTAACCCCATATACCAATTATCATGAACCCTATTATATAGTCAGAACCCCACCCTTATCTTGGATCGAAGGTCGCTCTATAACTTTTTCGGTTGAATTCCCGTTCTGCCTCTATCCTCTTTTCCAACAGTTTTCTCGTTCTTCCTCTAACCCTTATTCTTCTTACTGCTTCTTCTTTTCTATTCTTTCTAACAATAATAAAATAACCTATTATTCTCTTATTCCTTAATGGGCTTAAAACTACTACACCCCCTTATTACTACTTCTATCCCTTTAAAAATAAGTCCACATCGAATAATATTATCTTTCTAATATTATTTCACCACTTAATAAAATAAATCCAACTAATCAAAATATAACTTCACAAATATTCCAAAAATAATTTAATTAAATAATTAATTAAATTACGGGCGTTACAGTCATCCAGACTCTGAAGATAGTCAAGGTTCTGGAGAAAGTTCAATTTCTGAAGCAAGTGCTTCTGAAGGGGAAAGTTTTGGTGTCCCAGGTTCTGAAGGTACAGTTCAGAGGCAACAAAGAGTCAGAAGCATTCCAAGAAGATTTGTAGAGTTTGGCATGTTGCGAGACACTGAAGTAGACTCTGAAGGAGAAGTTATTCAGTGTGCAATGTTAGTAGACTCTGAACCCGTGAGTACGAAAGAGGCTCCTAAGCAGCAAGTCTGTTTGCAGGCGATGAAAGAAGAACTTGATGCTATAGAGAGAAATAAGACTTGGAAGCTAACTGAACTTCCAAAAGGCAATAAAGCCATCAACGTTAGATGGGTTTTCAAGTAGAAGCTAAATCCAGATGGATCAATTGGCAAACACAAAGCGAGATTAGTAGCAAAAGGCTTTCTACAGAAGCCTGGGCTGGATTACTTTGAAGTGATTGCACTTGTAGCGAGACATGAAATAATCAGACTAGTGATTGCAATAGTTGCTAACAGGAATTGTCCTCTGATGCATTTAGATGTAAAATATGCATTTCTGAATGGTCCATTACAAGAAGAGGTGTACGTTTCACAAACTCCTGAATTTGAGAAAAAGAATCAAGAAGGGATGGTGTTCAAATTACACAAAGCATTATATAGATTGAAGCAAGCGCCCAGAGCTTGGAATTTGAAGATTGATTCGGTTTTCAAGGAACAAGGGTTTCAGAAGTGTGAGATGGAGTATGGTGTTTATGTTCAACACACTTCAGAAGGTAATATGATTTTGGTCTGTTTGTATATTGATGACATATTACTCACAGGAAGTTCTGAACAAGAGATAATTGAGTTCAAGAAAGTTCTGATGAATACATTTGAGATGACAGATCTTGGAAAAATGAGTTTCTTTCTAGGGACGGAATTTATGTACTCTGAGAAAGGAATCATTTTGCATCATATGAAGTATGAACTAGAGCTTCTGAAGATATTTGAGCTAGAAAATTGCAAATTAGTTATCACACCTGCTGATACAAATCAGAAGTTGGACTTTGATTTTGATGGAGAGGATACGGATGCACAACCTTCAAACAAATGGTTAGTTCTCTAAGGTATTTGTGTAATACCAGACCTGATATTTGCTATGCAGTTGGAATGGTTAGCAGATTTATGAGCAAACCAAAGTGGTCTCATTACCAAGCTACAGTCAGGATTCTGAGGTATGTGAAGGGAACTCTGAAATATGAAGTGTTATTTCCGTCTGGAAGAAAGATCGAATCAGAACTTCTGAGTTATTCTGATTCTGATTGGTGTAGAGATAAAGTTGACAGAAGAAGTACTTCTGGGTACTTATTCAAATTTCTGGGAGGTCATATTTCTTGGTGTTCCAAGAAACAACCTGTTGTTGCACTATCAACTTGTGAAGCTGAATATATTGCAGGCGCTCTGACTGCATGTTAAGCTGTGTGGATTCTGAACTTGCTGAAAGATCTGAAGATTAAGGTAAATAAACCTCTGAAGCTGATGATTGATAACAAGTCTGCAATCAATCTTGCCAAGAATCCAGTGTTACATGGGAGAAGCAAGCATATTGAGACCAAATATCATTTTCTGAGGAATCAAGTTCAGAATAGAATATTAGAAGTTGTGCACTGTAGCACCCAGAAGCAGCTGACAGATGTTCTGACAAAGACTATCAAAATTGATCAATTTCTTGGTTTAAGGGATGAAATTGGTGTTCTCAATTTTGGGTAAATATAAATTAAGGGGTGTTAGAAATAAATTAGATTTTATAATTAATTAGATATTAATTTATATTTAGGAATATCTTTTAGATTGTTTATATCTTTATTAGAAAATATATATCTTAGATCTTCTTATATCTTTGTTAGAAGATATATTTTAGATTTAATTTTTTGTATAAATAGTTTAATGAAGTAGATTATTGTAATTTCATTGTAAATCTTTATTTTGAAGTTGTCAGTAAATATTTCTTTTGTCTTTTATCTTCCTTGTGCACCAACAATAAAATTTAATATAATTCCACACCTATCTATAATTAATATGAAAGGTGAGATTTTCTCAATACATTCTATTACACCTTTCACTATTGAGTTTAATACATAAATATAAATAGTCGATGGTCCTTCTTCTGATCGATAAACTTTAATATTTTCACTATTGAGTTTAATACATAAATATAAATAGTTGATGGTCCTTCTTCTTATAGATAAACTTTAATATTAATTAGTTTAAAACTTTAATCTAATACATACTTACAAAACCATCATATAAGATAATGTGTGTCGATCTATATATACTCTTTTGAAACTCTATCTATAACTAATGTGGTCTATATATATACTCTTTTGAAACTCTATCTATAACTAATGTGATGCTTAAAATTTTCCTAATACTTCATGCATATATATAAACGCTCCTCCATCGGTAGACTTATATATCATATAAATAAGATGTTAACCTAGTTCAACCCTGTAAAAAAAGTTTTATAAAGTAAAATGTATCACTCTATAAATTATTTTTATACTCAATCGGTAATTAACGTGAAATTTAAGATTTTTCCAACAATCCAGAAACAACAAAGTTATGTCACAAGAGCTAGTTGCCCTCATATTAGGTTGAAACTACTTATAAATTCTACTCAACAAAGAAAGATCTATCAAATCAAAATAACTAATAAACTTTTCAAACTAAACAAACTTCACAGAAGCATCTAATCCATGCGATCACACATCAATTCTCTCACTACGAGAACAATCATAATCAAAATTCCCTTAAACGCACCACACATTCCTCTTAAGACTTTCCAATGTTTTGTAAGTAGATACGGTAAAAAAAAACCCTCAAAATCTATATTACTAATGTTTTGTAATATAATATAATAAATGCCATATTTTCCATATTGAGTAATCTAAAAAGGCACCAATAAATTTGAGAAACGCAAGTCACAATAATATTTTAAAAATCTAAAAAGGATGTGGATTGACGTGGATTAGGTAATGTTTCTTTATGGATAGAGACAACCAACTATGATCAAGATGAGATTTTATAATTTTGGTCTATCTCGTAGGCGACACATTGTCTTTTCAAAATCAAACATCCTTATCTTCTACTATTATTGTTATTTTTGGTAAGAAATTGAAATTATTTAACAAACCATATTGATAACAGAATTACTTAAATCATTTAATATGTATATAAAATCAGAAATATTATACTCTAATAATCATTAACTAACATGTGATAATAGGTACACGTTTTGAACAAATCTGAATATATCTTATAGTAATCAACTATTTTGGAGTATTACTATAACGGGTAAGTATTTACTATTCACGGCTTTCACATGACGTGTCGGAGAAAAATAGCTGTTGTATAAAATGGCTACGTGGTTTGCTACCAAAAATGCATATTGCATAGTTGCCATTGTCTATCTATTTATTATTGATTTATCTCTTCCATTATATTCATTGTTTTGTGTGCAATTCTCATTTTCAAAGCACACAATATTCACATTGATTCTCAAGGATCCATCAAAATGATTCAAAGAACTCTCAACTTTCAAAGTTTAAGAAAATTTCTTCTTCAACCTGGTTATTATCTCTCTTCTTCCAAGGTGATGATGATCAACGCCTTTTTGTTCCTTTTTCATGTTTTAATTATACCATTTTTTTACATGCATATGTATGAAATCATGTTTTTTGCTCCATAATATAGATAGGAGCTTACAATGGGTACACATCTCAACCCTCACCTCTTCCAATTCCAAGGTAACTCAATACTAATATAAGTCGCACACAACCGAAGTGAATCCAGATGATAGTATCCAACTTAATAATATCAGTTTCTTTCAATTGAATTAGAATTTACGGGTAATGTGGATAAATTGACTTATTGTTCTTGTTATAAATTTTTTTTAGTGATGAAGAAGAGTATGCTAATGTGGATTGGGACAGTCTTGGATTTGGATTAATGCCAACTGATTTTATGTATGTAACAAAATGTGATGCGGGCCAAAGTTTTGGAGATGGGCAGATGAATCGGTATGGGAACATTGAACTTAGTCCATCAGCAGGGGTCCTAAATTATGGCCAGGTATGGTGATAACTTTTTACAAGTATTTTAATTTTATTTTTGTTATCTTGTATAAAGTTGCAAATATCATCTTGTATGCTACTATACAGCTGTAGATGAATACAAATATGAGTCAATTTAAGATAAAACTCCAAACAAAAGATAAAGATAAAGAAATAATTCACAAAGGAAAATTACAAAACTTTAGTTTTTCAATGATCAACACAACACGTGTACACGTGATGGATACTTAAATTACGTGATGCGTACTTAAATTATTATTGAAAAATCATAAAGACTGTTCTTTGAGCATTGATTGAGAAAATGAAGGAATGTTATTCTTACACCCTAATTGTACACTCAATATTTATAATAAACACTGTTCATGGTAAATACTATGAACAATATTTTTTAAATAAAAAAAAAACATATTTATAAAAAAGTGACGCAAACAATATTATAAATGGTGATAGAAAATAATATTCGCGGATAGTGTACGAAGAATGATTTATAATAATAAAATAAAATTGATTGATGAAGTGATGAAATTGATTAATAAACGTTTAGATATTAAAAAATAATTTAGTAGTAAAATAAAATTGATTAATAAAAATTAAAAAATCAGTTAATAAAATGATGAAGTTGGTTAATGAACGTCTATATATTAAAAATAATTTAGTAGTAAAACAAAGTTGTTTAATGATAAATAAAATATTAATTAATAAAGATACGAAATTGATTAATAAACGTTCAAATATTAAAAATAATTTTTAATAATAAAATAAAGTGTTAGTTAATAAAATTATAAATTAGTTAATCACATAATTCTGTATCGATATCTCTTAATATAATAAAAAAAATAAAAAAAAATTTTAATTTTTTTTTAAAACTACATATTATAAAAATATTTATTATTCACCATATTAATTAATGAACAGTAAAATATGGTGGAAGTATATATGATTTGATATAAGAATAGTATTTTTGATAAAATATTTGTGTTGGGTTGAAAAATAATAATGTATCAAACATTTTTGAATCATAGACACGAGATTTCAGTCATTTAAGTGAACTATAATATTGTAAAAAAAGAAAAACTGAATTATAAAATATCAATTATGATCCATTGTTTTCTTTTGAGTTGATTTTTTATTTAAAAAATGAAATAAAATTTGTTAGTACGGCTCTAAATAGGGATTATTCGAAGGCACGAAAGCATACAGAAAAGAAAATGGGAAGCTGCTGCTCTTCCGGCCAGAAGAAAATGCAATTCGCATGAAGATTGGTGCTGAAAGAATGTGCATGATACCTCCTTCCATTGATCAATTTGTTGATGCTCTGAAACGAACCGTTGTCGCAAATAAGCGTTGGGTGAGTAAGATTATATATATATCGGTCAAAAGTATCGTACGTTAGTTTGAACATTTTCACTAATGATTGAAACCAAACAGGTTCCTCCACCGGGCAAAGGATCGTTGTACCTTAGGCCATTGCTCATAGGAAGTGGTCCGGTTCTTGGTTTGGCTCCTGCACCTGAATACACATTCCTCATATATGCTTCCCCGGTTCGCAACTATTTCAAGGTCAGTGAAGTTTATTTACTTATACTACACATTTATTGGAATGGTTTGTTTATGTATTTAATTCGCAGGAAGGTTCGGCTCCGCTCAACTTGTACGTAGAAGAGGATTTCGACCGTGCCTCTCGTCGTGGCACCGGAAGCGTTAAAACCATTTCCAACTATGCACCTGTATGTTCTATCTATATATCTTGTGCATGTTCGAATCTGCGGTGAGTTTAACAAAATCATAGCACTAGTTGTCGATTTCATGTAGGTCTTGATGGCACAAAATAGAGCCAAGAGCCGAGGATTTTCGGATGTGTTATACCTCGATTCAGACAGAAAGAAAAACCTGGAGGAGGTCTCTTCTTGTAACATTTTTATCGCCAAGGGAAAAAGGATTTCAACACCTGCTATCAATGGAACCATACTGTCAGGAATCACTAGAAAAAGTGTCATCGAAATCGCTACTGATTTGGGTTATCAGGTAAAATTACTGTTACATTACATCATTGTGACTGCTACATGATTATAAGACATCATGGACCTAAAACTTGTCTTACATTGTTGTTTAGGTGGAAGAGCGCGTTGTTGCGGTCGAAGAATTGACGGAGGCCGATGAAGTTTTCTGTACAGGAACTGCTGTTGGTGTTGCTCCTGTAGGGAGTATCACATACAGGAATACAAGGTAATAAATATAAAGGACTGGACACATAATTACAGTATATATTTTCACTCTACATTGTTATTTGTTATTGCATATGCAGGGTGGACTATAAAACAGGTTCTGGTTCCATTTGTGAAGAGCTGTGCAAAACAATTTTAGGAATACAAACTGGTAGTATTGAAGATAAGAAGGGATGGATTGTTGAATTTGATTAAATAATCTGTTCCTAACATTCTATCCAATGTGAAAAATGGTCAATATAACCTTGTTATTTATCTTTAAACATGTGTACACTGTTATGCAAAAGCTAACTCCCAAATAAATGAGGTTGTTATTAGAAATATTTTTTAGGCTTGTAAGTTTTGATTTTACAAAATGGATTTATTCTGTTAATGTGATTCGTTCCAAGATGATTAAGTCGGAGAAAAGTGATAAATGATAATGAGCTTTGAACACTAATTTTGATTTGAGAACCATAAATACTGAAGCGCCTAGTCTAACAAAGGAAGATTATATCTAATACTTCCATCATTCTGATAAATTAATTATCATGGCTTCAACAAATAATTGATTTATAATATCATGTAATATTGATTGTAATTCGAACATGAGGGATCCGAGTCTATATTATATATGATTAAAAACTGTTTTCAAAAGTTTTTCGTTTTTTTATGATTTATAAAATGTGTATTTTTCGTTTCACTAATACATATAAAATCGAAACACCAAACATTAGAGTTATTAGTATAAAACCATGAAAGCTTTTGGGTTTATGCTAAATTTAGAATTCACGATTTGAAGACAAAATAATTAGGGATTTTGTTATAAGGAGTTTTATTTATCTTGAGATTACAGTTTGGGGTTAGAGTTCACACAAAAGCAATATTTGGATTGTCCAATACTCTTTTATGTCGGGGGAGATACTAAGAGCACTCCCCTCAAGTGTGAGTCCACACTTGTACTGTCATTGACATTTTGCAACGAAATACTATTTCTTGGGCGCATTTCGATACAAGTCTCTTCCGATTTCTTTCTCGAATCAAAGGCTCTAATACTACTGTTGGGGGGAGATATTAGGAGCATTGATACATAGTGTAGGACTAGACACCTTTCTGAGAGACACGCCACTTATCCACCTAAAATCTTAAGGTGATAGGTGAGTGAGTTCTCCCACTTATATATGCTTAAGTCTCCACGTTCCTATCCAATGTGAGATTATTTCCCCACTTACTCACACTTGCTATATTATTCCAACACCTTACAGAATAATTAACAGATAATTAATTACTTAATTCATTAACTAAATCATATTTATCCAATACGGAAAAGAGAATTATTCACACCTTGTTTTCAATATTTAACAAAACAAAAACACCACTCGCTAACGGGTTTGATTAAGAATTTGATTTGTGTCGAAACTCATACCGACACTTAGACCCAGTTTAGGACATTGGTCAACTTGCCTGAGCTCGGAGATATATTGTAGTTGTTCGCAAGGTCCATTATTAGGTTAGAGAGTGAAACCGCATAGATGGTCTGACTCTCCTTCTATTTTTTGTGTTGTTCTCGCAATTAATTTTTGGATCAATTAAGTTATGATTCAACAGTCATGGTTTATTCAATCAGGTTTCCATTTTCTCTTACGGATTAATCAGGAAATGTTTCATAGTTGTTGTTCCTTTTAGATTTGTTGCATTATGCAAAATAACATGAAGTGTACAAGATGGTTTTGTGAAGAAAAGACACATGTGAGAAATGATGTTCTAGCATGTATGGCACATCTGACCCCTGTTGCAGATCAAGCTTTGGCGCGTTTTTTTTTTTGTAATTTTTTAGCACACTTTTAGATTTGTTTCTGATTGATATGTTGTTATCTTTTAGCAACCTAATTAATTAGATTTGTTTGATGATTTATTAAGATCTAATTTAAAGATTTGGAAATTTAAATATGAATTCAAATCAAATCAAATTATTGTGGAGCTATTTTGAAAAATAAATCATAACCAAATCTCCACTTTATCAGCTAGTCAAATCTTATGCCCATTAGAGGAAAGCCCAACATAGGAATTATATTTAAAGAGACTGAATTCCATCGTTGAAGAGCACGAACGAGCTTAATAGAAGATCTTTTTGCTAGGATTTTGTTGAGTCCTTCGTTTGTGTTGCTTGTACATCACTCTAACGCTTTCATTCATATCTCAAAGCATGAAATTTGATTTGTTTAGTTGAGTTATAATTCAACATTCTTTAACTTGTTTATTGAATTTGATCGCTAGGGTTAGTGATTGAGAGAAAGTGAGAGGGATTCTCATATTTCGAGGGAGTCCTAAATATAAAGTCAATGGATAGTATTAGGAAGAGGTTGTGAATAAGGCGCGTTCATGTAAGACTAGATGTACTAATACTATTGATAGTGAGTTTCCTTTCTTGATTTGGATTTCCCCTAGATGTAGATGTGGTTTGCACTAAACTGAGTTAACAATTATTTTGTTCTTTATTACTTTTCTGCTTTCTCGTCTTGTATAAGTTAAATTGTCATATATTGGTTATACATATTGTCTCGAACATCGTATCCAACATCTACCCCTAAGAACATAATTTCAATTGGCATCAGAGCAGACACCCTGTTCTCTTTGGGTGAGCTCCAAGAAAGATAAATTTTGTTCAGATGGACAAAACTTAAGATGGGGGATCACTCAATAGACTACGTGTATTATGTAACACGGGTTTTGAAAACATATAAAATAACTATTTCTTTAATATCCTCAACATATTAAAATTTAGATTATCGGAGCTGAATCATAGTCTCAAAACATCTTTATTAAAATACTTCATCGTTCATGATTCATAAGTCAAACAAATAGATACCATGAAAGATAACCCATCATCTACAAAATAAGCAAGAGAACATAATATTTTCAAAATAAATGTTCCCAACATCGATGTTACATATCAGAGCAAGACCCTCTTATTCAACAGAAATAAATGATGCACTCTGAAGTTAATCCTCTAAGCTTCAATGCACTAATCCCGATCACCTACAAGTTACCCACTTATAGAGGCAACATTTCCAAGCAGAAAGGGTGAGTAATTATAATCATTATAAAAATATAAAGAATAAATATTGTAGTTATAGCATAATAGCAAGACATCACACACCATCAAAACTTCATGTTATATGTAACACCCCAATTCTACCCAACAATTAATATAAAAATCAGAGTTATAAATTTTCTGACAACTGAATCAGAATGCTACAATTACAACTTAAAACAACGGAATTCATTGCAGATACATAACACATTAAACTGGAATGAACCAACAGTAACATATTTTTAATCTTTTAAACCAGCAATTGTCATAACTACGCAACAGAATCAATTATTCAACTTAAAAGAATAAATCATCTTCATCCAACCGAAACAATTTCAAATAACAAGAATTTAACGAACAACAACTTAAAGTTCAATCAACGGAAATAATCAACAATAAAACAACAAGCGTTCACTTCCCCCCTTCCCCGAGTGTTACATATCAGAGCAATGACACTGACTCAAACTACTGAAGATAAACCGCCTTTAATTTGGATTACCTGCACGTTACAAACATTAGGGTAACATTCAATAAGAAGGGATGAGATATCGAAATAATCAGATGTAAGATAAATATTACATTAGAATTAGTCTATGCAAAATTACCACTTTGCAACTTTAAACGACATCAATCACAACAAAACTTCAACGAAACATAACAAATAATTTATCAACACAATAACTCGAATATGCAACGTGGAATGCAACTTATTACTATGCCCATACATGTGGTACCGATGAAGCAGAACTCCCAACTTAGAAATCTTGCCAATTAATAGAGGCAGCAACAAGGCATAAGCCTTCAACTTAATATTTTTGTCAATCCAGGCCAACTTAATGAGTATCAGCTCCAACATGATATTCCATGTATGCGACAACATGATTAAATACAACATCAAAAACAACAACATATAAAAACATTAGCATAAGCCTACAACTCAATAATTTCCAATCAATAGAGACAACACAACAAGATTCATCACCTACAACTTCAATAATTAAGAACAACAACACAACAACTTACTCCTGCCAATACTATTATTAACACGGACCCACTAAAACACTTCTGCTAAATTACTCTGCTGATAAGCCTTATAAATGGTTTACTGCTAAATTAATGAAACTATTATTTTCCCGCTACTTAAATTATCTCTACTGCTACTATATTTTAGTTACTAGTGTTTCTGTTATTTACTACTAGTTATGCAAATAAACCATACCAATTACTAACTCTGTACATTATTAATCCCACCTGCTATATTTTATGCTAAGCCACAATTTTTAACTTTTATGTTACTGATGAATAGCCTTTGCTATTCTCCATTCTTTTCTAAACCTGCTACATACATTCCTGTAATGAAATACTAAGGTAACAGACACACATAAAACAATTAAAAGGAGACTCTGGCTAATGGACTCATTCCCCTCGGCATGTAAACCGTTCCCCTCGGAACAGAAACAGGGTTGTCTGTCGGCACCCTTCATCAACATATATGTGCCGCTCGACACACGTCCATAATTCCAGAATAGAACTTCATCCAAATTTCCTGCGATCAGTAATTCCTTTCCTTCCCATGATCTCAGACCAACGCAACATGTATTCACAACAACATAACAACTATACCCACATTGTTACATGATAATTTTCAACACTCGATTCATCGATTGAATCACTGCCATGTTAACACAATTACCACAGATACCAAGCAACAATTTATTCATACAACAATCACACACAAAAGCAGTTTTACGCAACCCAATCCCTAAGTGACATGCATCATAAACCCAATTATAGATCCAGAACCCCACCCTTACTTTGGATTGAAGGTTACTCTACGATATTATGATCGAACCCCGTTTTGCCTCTTTTCTTTTTTGCTCTGCAACCCCTACGTTCTCTTTCTCTCTTCCAACCCTTATTCCTCTTCTTCTTGACAAAACTTATTTTTCTATTATTATAACTAAACTCAATAATATTATTATTTCCATTGGGCCTAATTCTCACACCCCCTTAATACTACGTCTATCACCAAAACAAGCCCAACAACTAATACAATTAATTTCAACATTATTATTATTTAACTAATTAATTAATAATAATATAACAACTTATACCAACAATT